CAACCTGATAGCTCAAACCTGACACTCTGTAAACTACTGCAGAAAGCCGCAATTTCAACCTAACTCTACCAGCTCGAGGTCCCTGCAACACAGCAAATCCTCCTGCAGAAAGCCTAAACACACCCAGCCAATGCCATCCTTTGAATGTTCAGATCTTGTGTTCAACATCTACTTCTTGCTTGGTCACTCATCACTACTTGAAGGTTCATGGGTAGTTCTTACTGGAGCTATAAGTGCCGTCCGCGAGGTTGCAAGCATCATGGTTTTACCAAGTAGTCCAACTTCCACCCCTCTTGTTCTCGAGGTTTCTCGTTACATCGGTGGGATACTAGTAAAAACATAACTTCATTTTCTTTGCCGGGTGGGACACAGGTAAACGCAAGTAGCATACTCAACGTTGACCTACTTTTGATTGCCCAAAACCCTAAGCCCTCACCCCCAAACCCTAAACTCTAAACCCTAAACCCCTAAAACCTATATAACCCATTATAGTAGCTTCCCTTTTCTTTTCCATTATCCCTATATAACCCCAAACCCCGAACCAAGTACCCAGCAAATGTGAAGCCGGCCTCCGAAGGACAACTGCGGCAGCATGCGACCATTGCCGGCTAAAGGGTCATGGTTAAGCTGCTGGAGGATTGGCTGGGAGCTGTTTTCAAACATTGAGGGCTTGTGTATCCAGAGCATTGAGGTGTGGGGTCGTCTGGCTTGAAAGTGCCAGATGCTTTGATTTTGCAGGTTGAGGTGGCAGCAGGACTTGCAGTGTTTCCAGCTTTGAGCGTGCAACTTGCAATTTGTGCAGCTTAGGGCATAGGGTTTTCAGCGTGTCTGGCTGCATGCTGCAGGCATGTCTATATGGTCAAGGCCCAGCATATGCAAACGGCGGGAAAATTTGGACGCAATAGTGCATGCTTGAGGCGACAACCCATTCTGAAGGAGGACTAATTAAGAAATCTTCGAGGACTGCGACTTAAGAAAGATCCAATGATTCAGCCGCTTGTGAGGCAACCAGAGTCGCTCTATTCAGTCGGAGCCCTTGTGACTGGTGGAAGCCAAAATAAAATTAGGTTCTCCTCTCACAACTGACTCCACTCTTGCACGTTGGAAAGAAGTTGTTCATAGGTTGCTTCTTAGCAGGACCCTTGGGATCCAAGTCTACCAAAAACATCTACATTGGGCCCTAGAGTCTGTCAATAATACCTACACTGGACGAATTGGATCCCTATACATCACTATAAACTCCTAATTCCCATTTCATGTTCCGTTTGCTTATCCATCTGATTCTGAGCTTGTTATTCTTTGAAATTCTACCAATGCCGCAACTGCGGTGCGAGAAAGCGTTCGCGCCGTGTGCCTTTTGAACTACCATGGAAAGAGTCGTGTTCGTTCCATGCTGAGCTCCCGTCTTCAAAAAAGAAGGTACCATCAGGAATGCCATGTGCAGCCAGGCTTAACTACCAGGCTGCAAATACACTAAGAACCATGTTAATTAATCACCCATAAAACAAGGGGTTCTGTTGTAGGACTCCTCATTCAGGTAGTCGGCTCTGACATTTTCGGCATACCTGAGCATGCCTAGACAATTAAGGGCCCTGAAGTGCGCAATCCGAGCCTATTCATGAAGAAGCATAGGGATGGATATTGGTGATTGATTTGGTAACCCTACAAAATTCTATCCAATAGTTCACTCCCCACGAACCACCAGTAATATTTTCTCCTGGCAGTCTTGCCAATCCGCAAGTTTCTGGCTACCGATGGCTGCTTGCCTTCTCAGCATAAGGGCAGCGATCCACCACTGACTGTCGCCAAGACACCCCCTGGCAATCTGCCGAATTTTCCTTCAGCTCTCTATCTAGCCTAAGCAATTGACCCAGAATCAAACCCTGAGTCCCCCAAAGTCTGAAGCCTAAACCCAACTAATCTGCTAAACGCGTCAAGAGGGCACAGAAGCCAGCATTAGGCAGGGCCTTGTGGTATATTATGCTAGAGTTACTTCAGGCTAAGGGTTTAGGGAATAGCCTTGGTCGTTATTCAAATTCAGAACATGGAACCTCAAAAGAGCCCTCTGTAGACTACTGCGATCCCGAAGCTTCCGCAATTCCTTGTGGATCTAAGACTTTACAGACTATAGTCCCCCTTAAGTAAATAGAGTATGGGGTATA